CAGCCAGCGGACCTGAGCAGCATGGAGCCAAGGCTGGGAGAGAAGCCCCGCGATTGCCCGAAGCCCGTCTCCGTTCGGAGGCAGCGAGCACAAAGCTCCCTCCCACAGCGCCCAGACACCATTCCCTGCTGGAAAGCTCTCCCCGGAGCACATCGCATCCCAGAGGAAGCTCTCGTGTGGCTGCGCAGTTAAGGGCAACTGGGGGGGGGGCAGTGCCCAGAATGGGAGTGCATGGGTCCTGCGCAGAATGGGAGTGCATGGGCACTGCGCCTGGAGCGGGGATGCTTGTGCCTGTAGATCCCAAGCCACGGCCCAGGGATCGGGAATATTTATCAACTATTATATGGTAGAAGTGCTGAGCGGTGTGGGTCTCAGCCCAGTAAAGCAGCAAATGAGGTTACAGAACATTTTACTAAATCTCTTTTTTCCTTCCCCTTCTGCGGTACTTTAGGTGTGTATTGTGCAGAAGAGAGACACTGAGAAGATGTACGCCATGAAGTACATGAACAAACAACAGTGCATCGAGAGAGATGAGGTTCGCAATGTGTTCAGAGAGCTGGAAATCCTGCAGGAGATCGAGCACGTGTTCCTGGTGAATCTCTGGTGAGCGTCTCCTCCCCTCTGCCTTCTGGGGCCGCCTGCCCTCAGGTGCTCGCAGAGCCACGCTCTCCCCGTCCCGTGGGGTCCGTGGGAGCATCCCAGTGAGCTGCCACAGTGGAGGTCCATGATAACGTGAAATGCGTTCAGGAAACATAGCACAGAAGATACCCAAATGTTATGGCACCAAGCATTTTAAAACAGCTTAGCTTCTCTTTTTCGATCAAAACCCTTCGTGCATTTGTTGGGTGTATTCCAGAGCCTTCTTGCAAATACCACTGTCGGGTCCCTCCTAAGGGACCCACTGCCAATTTAGCTGTAAAATATTTTTGTACTATGGTGGGTTGGAGTGCAGTTTGACTAAGGTGTCTTGGGGAAAGGACGATGCTCCCGGTGATTGCCGTTAAAGAAATAGTCCATCTCATGTGCATGAAGGTACCGAGAACCGGGACAGCCTGTGCTTAATCGGATACTGCGTGGGGCCAACTTCTGTAGCAAATAACAGCTTGAAAAGTCAAGGAAACTGGCGTTTTTAGAGATGATGATTTATAACTTTTATTAATAAAAAATTACACAAAATATGTCGTGTTTTACACAGTAAGTATTTGGTCCCTCTAAAGGACTCGACCTTGCAGAGATTGGGTAATAGTTTAAACAAACAGAACTGCTCTCAGCCGCAGCCACTGTGCCCGGTAAGGTGTTACCCAGGTAGGTCCAACGCAGGAGGTTTTAGCGGGTGGTTCGAAGCTGCCCTGACCGTGTTTGGCTCTGCGCAGGCACGGCAAAGGCGGCTGCGTAGACGTACACCGAGGGATGCTGGTGGGCTGGGGGGATTAACGTGGGCGTAGGGAAGCCAAGGAGATACACTGCATGTCATTTTTTTACTGTGACTATCTAGACAGGACATGTTTCAAAAGCATTACCAGCTAAAGCTATTTGTTAGATTTCAGCCTGATTTGAGGAGGTTTTTTAAAATTAGACCCTAAAATGTTACTCAGTAACGAGGATAGTTTTTGCCAGTGCACGCACAGTCAAGTTAGTATTAAGCAATTTGAAATGTAACTATGTTTAGTGATCTGTTGCTGAAAAAAAGTATGAGATCTCTTCAAATTATCAGGTGTGTGGCCTTTTGCTGGAGAACAAGTAAGGGCAAAAAGTGCTTTGCAGCACATTCACTGCTCAAATAAAATATATTCCTTTAGAGCTCAGATATATCATGACCAAATTTTGCACGAAAAATTAATTTACAAGTTTTAGAAAATAGCGCATTATATCCTGAGATCATTGGTTAGTTTGGGATGAGTCCTTAGCAGTCAGCCTCGTCACCCCGTCCCGGATCCTGCTGCCGGGTGGTCCGGGTGGTCCGTCCTCTCTCTGCCTTCCCTGCCCTGCGAAGCAGCGCCCGACGTGGGGCAGGGATCGGGAGAACCGTCATCTTCAGCCACCGTCGACCCGCACGCCACGAACTGACGGTGTGCCAGCAAGCATCTCGGAGCTCTGCTGGGAGGGAGCTGGGCCACGAGCCAATACAGGACACATTGCAGGGTGATAGAAATAAGGAGTTCATGGCTTATATTCCCAGACCGCAAGAAGAGTGACATTTGTGAGAGGTGATGGAAAACCTTTGAAATCCCATTTAGTGCCGGGTGGCAGACTGAGAAGGGAAGAGTCGTCCCTTCTCTTACTGTATGTGTGACCCGGGTTGCTCAAAATTTTGCCTAGAATTTATTCCCCAAGTGTCTTGCACACCCTTGGCATGGTTTGAAATGCGTTCTCTCAAATGGTAGCGTGGCTTTTCGTAAAGGCAGGCTTCTGCAGCTGTGGCTTAAAGTGTCATCAAGGCAGGTAGGCAGTGGTTCCAACCCAGCTGTTTTTGAGATTGCTTAAAAACTTGTGCAGCCACAACCACAAGGAGAAAATAGTAAATGTAAAATAAAGGCCATGCTTACTTGGAAAACAATGGCTGAGCAAAAATGATATATTATGTAAAAAATGCGAGGAAGTGCATCTGCAATGCACGGTGCACAGTAATCTCCTTCAGAGACTGCAAGTGTTGTGTTACTATTGAAATGTGTTTTTAAGGCTAGAATCAGTGCCCCGTGACCGGCTCCCTGGTTTCGTAGCTTCAGAAGAGGGGCAGAAGCAGCAGTTTTTCCCGGGGAAGCTGCACACCTCGGCTGGTCAGCCAGGTTGAGCCTTGGGCAGCCGGCTGGCCGCCGGCGTCCCCTCCCTCTCCGGCCAGGTCGGATGCGCGGCAGGCTGGTGGGCGGGAAGATTGTCAAAGATTCGGAAAGTTTCGTACCCAAAGTGGTGAAAGTTGATAATACTTTACATCCTTTTTGTTGATCTGTTATTCCAGAATAGCCAAACAAGTTAATATTTATTTTTTCTGCATTTTAGCAATTGCAAATACTTTTTTCCAATAAGTAATGAAATTCTTAAGAAAACTTGCTCTCTTAGCAAATTTTTCCCCTTCAGCTCGTAGTTTTAGAATAAGCCTACATTTAAAATGAGAGCAGAAGCGTGTGATTCATAAGTATTATACAATCCCACATGCTCTTTCCTTAGAAATACTGTCGCCAAATATAACAATTGAACGTTGTTTTGTAGTGTATCCTCACTGCTGTCAGTCTCCTGCAGGATCCACTGGAGATTTAGAGAGGCGTTTTACTCTACAGTAAATATAAATCTCTTTTTCTGGTTTTTCTGGTTAAATTAGCACTTGTGTTTTCCAATTCTTTTTTCAGGATAGGCAGAGATATTTTAAGTGTAGGTTTATCGGATTATTCACAACGGAAAATGCGAAGTGTCTCTGACGTGACTGGCTAGCAAAGCCCCGAGCTCTGCCTGCAGCTCTGCCTGCTGGCGGGGTTACGTGGCAGCGCTCGGGAGGTGACGGTGGCGGGGCGAGCGGGGCAAAGTTAATTGGGATGCTTGCCTCTTCAAAGGAAGTGTTGCGTAGTGTAGCACTAGCTTGAAAAACAGGACAGCGGCTTGAGTTGCGCTTGCTTAATTAGAAGGGTGTGAACGCCGAAGCGGGCATGTGTCTGTGGTGGGGCTGTTTGCAGTTTTCAGAGGAGCTGTGTAATTAGGAGAGGGAAAAAGCCTGACTTGGCTTCGTGACTCCCGTGAGAGTCAGCCTGCTCGCTCACGCACTGCCGGTCCCGCAGGTACTCCTTCCAGGACGAGGAGGACATGTTCATGGTGGTGGACCTGCTTCTCGGTGGCGACCTGCGCTATCATCTGCAGCAGAACGTTCAGTTTACGGAAGACACGGTCAAACTCTACATCTGTGAGATGGCGCTGGCTCTCGACTACCTGCGGAGTCAACATATTATCCACAGGTAACCACGCGGTCCCTTCCTCGCAGTCGGTAGCCGGTGGGAGCTGCCGGTCGCTGGTTTGGGGTGGGCAGCGCTGTCTCTGCTGCAGTGAGGGCCTTAACCCCATCGGTACCCGCGAGTCGGGGACCTGCCAGCGTTAAACCGCACCAGCAGTGCCGGCCCTGGGCGCCCTCCGGCCGCTGGTCCTGCTCCCCGTCGCTCAGAGGGAGCCTCACGCTTCGCCGGGGGGCTGGAAGCCCCTTCCCGGGCGGGTTTCAAAGCAATCTCACAGAAATAGGCCCAGTCTTCTCTTATTAATTTTCCTTGGAAATGATGCCCGAACAAGTCGGATGCTCCCACTTTTTTGCCCAGTTGCCCAGGAAAAGCATATTTCTAGTCCGTCATAAAGGGACTCGTCTCATGTTAGGGTATTTTTGTTTTATTTGTTTCTGATTTTTGATAGATAAAAAAGTTGCAGGCTTTTTGCTGTTGAGTCGCATCCTTGATCTGACTGAGATTTCATCTTGCTGTAACCTTGCTTCTTTTCCCAGAGATGTAAAACCAGACAACATCCTCCTCGATGAGCAAGGTAGGATCTCTCTGCCTTGCTTTGTCTGCCTCCTTCATTCGAGGGCCAGATTCCTTACAGTCCTGAATACCCTGCATCTTTTTATCTGGGAAAAGCGTGAAAAAGGCACCACTCCTCCTAGCTGACCGGTGTTGGGTCGGACGTACCCGCGCGTTGTAATGCCAGGGGAGGTCCACCAAGGACGGCCCCTCTCCCCGTTGCCCCCGCCTCGCCTCGCCCACGCTCTGCCTCCTGTCTCGCCCGTGCACAGCTCACCCATGCCAGAGATGCCGAACCCGGCGTCGTGGGAGGGCACGAAGCACAAGAACCCTCTTTGTTGAGTTTTAGAGTGACTGATCAGCACACCTGCTTTTAGAATAGTTTTGATGTCTTCCTGGGGATGGATCTGGGCTGAGGCAGGTGGAGTGAGCTCAGGAACCTTTATGAGAGCATCTATTGGTAATACTGCCTCAGTGGCCTACATAGGAGAAACACCATAGGAGATCCTATAATGACCTCTATTCCAGTAGTAAGTCTTATAAAATGAAGACGCAATCTCTCAGGCTCCAAACCATCTGAGTTTTATCATAAAGCCTCATAAAAACCAAAGCTTGGACTTGCATGGAAGTTCATTAGAAAATAGCGCAGGGCATAAAGCCCAAACGCAAATGGGAAAAAGGAGATGTAAGGGAAGAGTTCACAGGACAAGGCAGTCTGTGATTTACACACCATTTCCATAGCTGCCTTGTAGGTAGAGAGCAGAAAGCAGCCTCCAGAAGGGGAAGCGGGTGGGCTTTCTGTATACCAGGCTGGCTTGAAAATAATGACATTTTCTGAATTTTAACTTGCAGTCCTGATGACAGAGAAAGTAGAAACAGAGAGAAGGTGTTACAGCACTTTTTGTAGCATCTTAATGATTTCTTCATGCAGGCTGAGGGTTTGGGAAGTACTGTTATGACTTCATTCAGCTGGCATGTCCAAATTTGCTGTGGTCTGTACAGAATGCCAGTGGAGCGGTTTAGCTCTGGGACTTTGGGGTAGTTGTGGTTCAATGGCTTTTATCAAAAATAGTTGTAGGGTTTTAACCAATGCAACCGAGGCAATATCTTAGTATAGTGTTTCCCAGTTGACTTCTTGCTGACTGTAGGTTCTGGATGGAGCAATTTGACCGAGTGCCGGAGCTGGCGTAGGTTACTAGTTCACTCCAAGTGCGATTTAAAATCAAGACCCAAAGCTAGCTACCATTTAATCACCTAGCCAGGCTGACATCCTGGGAAAGCTTCGGGATCTGTTATGGCCGTTTGGTGGGGTCTAACCCTGACCTGCCTGTGCCCATGTGCTGCCCTCTCTGAGGGCAGAAGCTTATGAAACAAATGTATTCTGGCTCTACATTGCCACTGCTCTGCGCTGTGATTAATTCCTTCTTAAAATGTGTCTTTATTTAAGGTCATGCACATTTAACAGATTTTAATATTGCAACAATAATTAGGGATGGTGAAAGAGCAACCGCATTAGCTGGAACAAAGCCATACATGGGTAAGAAATAATAGCTGTTCCTTATGTCTGTATTTTACATTTTAAGAGCGCTCACCGCATGCCGCCTGACAGTCCCTGTCTGTGACAAAGGCAGTGAATTAATTTGGCGCATTAATGCATGCACCCAAGTCATTCTTCAGAGCCTGATCATTTGGGAAACTCCCAGAGTGAATGAATGGCTGTCGGCACACCCTCCCCGTTCCACCCTGCCCTCCCCGCTGGCCCCGGGCTGCGACTCGGTGCGTCCTGGTGGGTGCCAGGTTTCTGCTGTCCTTGACTCGCTTGGCTGGGAGGGCTCTCCCTGCATGTGCCAGATACCCCGCTGCCCAGCGAGGGCAGGCATGCTGCTGCTGCTGCCGCCGCCGCCACTGCTGCTGCTGCTGCCTCTGACTTGCAAAGGCTCCCCTCAGGCAGTAGCACATTAAAATAACCATAGGTTTACGTACTGACTTACATGAAATACTGAAATAGAAACAAACTAAAAAAAGTCAGTGAATAACCTGTTGCATTTTGCCCTTTCTGTTCAGCCCCGGAGATTTTCCATTCCTTCCTGAACGGCGGGACGGGCTACTCCTTCGAGGTCGATTGGTGGTCCCTGGGAATCATGGCGTACGAACTGCTGCGGGGCTGGGTAGGGCTCCCGGACGGGCCGAGGTCTAAGAACACGCTTTCTGAATGACTGCAGAGAGGAGAGGGAATTTCTTCTCATCTTCCTGCTTTTTTCCCCCAGAGACCGTATGACATCCACTCCAACAACCCTGTGGAGTCTTTAGTTCAGCTCTTCAGTACTGTCAGCGTTCAGTACTCGTCTGCGTGGTCAAAAGAAATGGTTGCTCTATTAAGAAAGGTAAATAGTCCTGCTGGCGTGGTTTACATTGTACATTAGCTGCAGCGCGTGCGGGACTAGCTGGAAAATTTTCAGCAGTTAAAAAATGATGTAAAATTAAAATAGGACTAATTTTTATGGCTTGGTTCAGGCCTAAGCACAGATAAATCTTGTGTTTTGTTTTTTTTATCATCTCTGTAATAAGATGCATCATGTTTGACAGCAAGGGAAGGAAAAAGGCTGGTTTTGGTGTGACAATCAAACTCCTACCTGGGCTAGAACTGTACCCTTCCAGCATCCTCGTAACCTCGATCCATCAAGATCGTCGTAACCTTGAGATCGCTTAGGACAAGAAAAAATGGGCTCAAGCTGCGCCAGGGAGGTTTAGATTGGATATTAGGAAAAATTTCTTCACGGAAAGGGTGGTCAAGCATTGGACCAGGCTGCCCAGAGAGGTGGGGGAGTCCCCATCCCTGGAAGTGTTCAAAAAACGGGCAGAGGTGGCACTTGGGGACATGGTTCAGTCTGGTCTGCCCTTGATTGGTTTAGAGTGGACTTGGTAGTGTTAGGTTAATGGTTGGACTGGATGATCTTAAAGGGCTTTTCCAATCTAAACGATTTGATGATTCTGTGATTCTAACCTAAAAAGGCAGGGATCATGGCTGAGACAGCCACGTGATATGGAGGAGCGTGCGCTGCCGCTGCTGCGTTAGCTGCTCTCTCTCGCCAGCAGTGCCGGGCCGAAGGGTGCGATTCGGTGCATTGGGTTGTGAGAACAAATCTGGGGGGGTTCCCATACCCACGGGACGGTCTGCTGCTTTCCTCGTACTGCTACACAAGAATGTTGTTGATTTGGCGTGGAGGCTGAGGTTTTAGCTGCTGCTTGTTGAGAACTCAGAAAAGCAGCTGATGGGCATGCTATAAAAAAGATATACACGGTGCTGACAGCAAATAAGTGACTCCAATGTAAGTTAATGTTGGGTGGACAATTTACATAATTAGATTTTGTTTTAATGAGACGCAGGGTTAGTTATGACTGCAGCGGAGCATTCAGCAAGTTCATATTGCCATCTGCTGGGCTGCCGGCAGTCGGGCTTCTGGAGACTGGGCGGGTTTGCAGGAAAAAACCCAGCAGCCACCTCAGCCTGGAAGAACCCCCAATGTCCCCCCAAAGTGCTGGGCTTTTTGTGCTTGGGGCACCCCAGCCGTCGTCCTGCCCGCTGGGGCAGCTCGGGGGGCTGCACTCGTTGCCCACCTGCCCGCCGGGACCAGCCCCTGCTCCCCGCTCCCTGCATCGATGCCCTGCATCTCCTTCCTGCTGGGCTGGTGCCCTCAAAGCAGCCTTACTCAGGAACTGGGAATTCCTCCCTTTTCATTTTAAAGATGAATATAATTTTATGCTGTGAAAAAGTGCCTGAAAAGTCCCCCAGGTGATAGTTGCTGGTCGAGGCGGTCTTTTACTCCATGCTCTTCAAAAGCATCCCATGCTTGGGCACTTAAAATCATCGAATCATTTAGGTTGGAAAAGACCTCTAAGATCATCCAGCCCAACCATTAACCTAACACTACCAAGTCCACAATTAAGGGTAGAGTAATAATTAATTTCATGTTCCTGGCTTGATGGCTGGATTATTTTTTAATGAAATTAAAACTAGGAATCACTGAGGTTGGAAAGGCCCTCTAAGATCATCAGACCAACCATCAACCCAACACCCCCATGCCCACTAAACCATGTCCCCAGGTGCCACCTCTGCCTGTTTTTTGAACACTTCCAGGGATGGGGACTCCACCACCTCTCTGGGCAGCCTGTTCCAATGCTTGCCCACCCTTTCTGTGAAGAATTTTTTCCTAATATCCAATCTAAACCTCCCCTGCTGCAACTTGAGGCCATTTCCTTGCTTGGCGGGCTGTTAAGTATGGTCATGATTACCTGCTTCTTGCATAGTTACCTTTGGCATTGGAAAAATACTCAGCGCTGATTTTATTTCCTGCAAAAGGGCTGTAGCCATCTATGATCTTAAAGCTCTTTTCCAACCTAAACGATTCTATGATTCTATGGTAATTAGTGTGCCTAGAATTATGCTGCAGCGTGTACCCCCACGTTAGACATACCTCCCCATTCGACATAACTCCACATCAGACATATCTCCACATTAGGCATGCTTCCAGCAGCCCTGGAAGCTGTAACTCAAGTCAGCTGAGCATACAGCGTAGTACATGGTGCTGAATTCTTTGAAACATCAAGTCTGTCCTCTGACTGGTGTCTCAGTGGATCAAGCGACTATTTTTTTTTCTCTGTGCTTAGTAATCTCTGTGTGTGATAAACGGAGTAGTATCCCCTGGTGTCACAGAAGTGGTGTGAAAATAGGACGTGTGGAGGTTGAAACCGAAATGATAAGCCTCCGGGGGAATCTTTACGGAGGAGCAAGGTCTGTCCCTGGCACGGGGAGGAGCGTGCCGGGGCGGCAGCGCCCGGGTGCTGTGGTGAAGGGTTGTGCATCGTAGGTAGGCACGGGAGGAGCAAACCCATGCTGGTCCGAGTGCTCACAGTGCTGAATTTTTGGCTGTCTGGTTTCACAACCTCCAGAACATTTTTCTAGCGTGTTGTTTTTCCTATAGTCTGTTACATATTTCCCATGACAGCAAGGCTGCAGCACGGCTGAACCATCTGAGTGCATCCGGATGGCCGGACGATGCCGGGCTCCTTTTCCTTCTCCTCTGACGGGAATGCATTTCTCTCCCCAGCTGCTGACGGTGAACCCTGAGCATCGCTTTTCCTGCCTGGCTGACGTTCAGGCCTCGGCGTACTTGTCCGGCGTGGTCTGGAGCGACGTCTGTGAGAAGCGGGTGGAGCCGGGCTTCGTCCCCAATGTGAGTAGGAGCGACCTGTGTCCCTGCCCCGAGCAGGGCTGGTCCTCGTCGTTAGAGGAACCGCTGCGTTCAGCAGAGGCTTTCGGACGGAGAAGTAGTTTCTGAGTGTATTTGCTACACTGCTGTGTGTATTCTGCTGTGCCTAACATGCATGATGCCATGTCCTGTGTCCCGGCAGAAGGGCCGCCTGCACTGCGACCCCACCTTCGAGCTGGAGGAGATGATTCTGGAGTCGAGGCCCTTGCACAAGAAGAAGAAGAGGCTTGCAAAGAACAAGTCGAGGGATAACAGCAAAGACAGCTCACAGTCCGTAAGTGCTTTCTGGGGTAGCAGCCAGCCAGGAAAAAAGGCTGAGCTGCTCAATTTGGGGATGCATAGCAGCAGTTACTGAGACAATGCAGGAACTGCAGATTTGTTTTGCTAAAAACATTTGCCCAATGGCGTCTTCCTGGCAGCCAAATGTTCCTCTTACCTAAGTTTGATAAAACTCTTTCACAGTAATCTGTACTTTGGAAAATGAAATGAGAAACAGAGGTCTGGGCCCACCGGTCAAGAGAAAAACTAAAAAAAAATACACATCCATATGATCTTCACCTTTCCGAGAGGCGCTGCCCAGTGACTGCACCAGCTGTCGGCGCGGTGCCACAGTAGTAGTTTATCCAAGCGCTGCTGATGGCCACGCAGGAACATCTGGCCAGCCAGTCCCATTTTTGGGTAACTATCCCAGGTTTTCTCTCACCGCGTGAGCTGTGCGGCTGGGTAAGCCCCGTGGCTCTGCCAGGCTCCCATGCTGGGGTGAGCTCTGGCTGTGCCGGCTGGGGAGGCCGGCACGCGTGAGTGTGGAGAAGCGTGCCAGGGTGCCCACGAGCGCTTTCTGTAGAGAGGGGTCCATTAGCTGGGAAATTAAGCTAGAGATGAGATGCATTTGTTTCTTCTTTTCACTGCGGGACTCACGGTGCTTGTATATCTCTGGCGAGACAAATACAAGAACCTTGGTTTTACAGAGCAGACACGTCCCAGGAGTAAAACCAGCTCCTCACGCAGCAGAGCAGGTACTCGGTCCTGCAGGAAGCGGGTTTTTGTAAGGGGTGTGTTGGGGTTCAGCCCCAGGCAGCGGCTCAGCACCACGCAGCCATTGCTCACTGCCCCTGCCCCGATGGGATGGGGAGAGAATCGGAGGAGTGAGAGTGAGAAACACTCCTGGGCTGAGATAAGAACAGTCTAATAATTGAAATAAAGTAAAATAGTAATGATAATAACAACAATATAATAATGACAATAATAATATCCAAAGCAAGTGCTGCCCAATGCAGTTGCTCCCCACCCGCCGACCGATGCCCAGCCAGTTCCCAGCAGCGATCGCTGCTCCCCAGCCAACCCCCCCAGTTTCCATACTGCCCATGACGCCGTATGGTATGGAATGGCCCTTGGGGCAGTTGGGATCAAC